CTCCTCTTCCTCTGCATCCCTCCTCCTCCCCCTCCTCCCCCTCCTCCTCCGCCTCCTCCTCGAGCCTTCAGTTCCCGCTCCTCAGCGCAGACTCCCCCCGCCCTGGCCAGGCGCTCGAGGGCCTCGGGGAGCGCCGGCAGCGCGTGGCGGACGCGAAGAAGTCGCTGGTCGTGCGGGCGTCGCGGAGAGCGAAGGACCTGCGGCGGCGGGCTGCTGGTGTGAAGGCAGGGATGATGGTCATGGTGATGAGGACGACGACGACGGTGATGATGCTGCTGCTGATGGTGATGATGTGATGGTGATGATGCTGATGCTGATGATGATGCTCACAATGATGATGATGACGTTGATGATGGTGATGAAGATACTGCTGATGGTGATGGTGATGGTGAGGATGATGATGCTGATGACTATGACGATGATGATGACGATGATGATGGTGGTGATGATGATCATGCTGATTACTTTAATGATGATGGTGAAGCTGATGATGCAGATGTTGATGATGATGCTGCTGATGATGATGACGATGCTGCTGATGATGATGCTGCTGCTGATGATGATGATGATGATGATGATTATTGATGATGGTGATGATGATGCTGATTCTGATGATGATGTGATGATGATGGTTGTGATGCTGACGACGACGATGATGATGCTGATGATGATGCTGATGATGATGATGATGATGATGATGATGATGGAGGTGGTGGTGGTGGTGGTGATGGATGAGGTGGTGGTGGTGATGATGATGATGATGATGATGATGATGAGGAGGAGGAGGAGATATTGTGGTAATGGTGGTGGTGGTGGTTGAAGAGGAGGAGGATGAGGACAGGTGAAACACCCTGAGAAAGTCAGTGTGACTTTCGATTTGGACCTGATCAAGCCTTTGTTTATTACATCCTCTCTATGTTGCAGTTGTTGGTTGACGCGCCGTAGACGGCAAACACAGAAGAAGGCAGGAAAGGAGTAGGCTTGAGATGCGGAGAGATGATGAGGAGCATGAGGATGAGGATGAGGATGAGGATGAGGATGAGGATGAGGATGAGGAGGAGGAGGAGGAGGAGGAGGAGGAGGTGGAGGAGGAGGAGGAGGAGGAGGAGGAGGAGGAAGGGGATGATGATGATGAGGAGGATGAGGACATTGCTGGACGAGGAGGGCTGGAAACTGGAGGAAGCAGAGGAGAGCAGGAGGAGAGAGGAGGAGAGGAGGAGGAGGAGGAGGAGGAGGAGGAGGAGGAGGAGGAGGGAGGAGGAGGAGGAGGAGGAGGAGGGAGGGAGGAGGAGGAGGAGGAGAGGAGGAGGAGGAGGAGGAGGAGGAGGAGGAGGAGGAGGAGGAGGAGGAGTAGGGACGATGAGGAGGATGAGGACGCTGAAGAAGAGGACTTTGAGTAGTAGGCTGGACACCTTGAAAGATGAGGGGCCATACCGAGCTTTACCATCAGCAGAGGGGGTCGTAATCGAAGGAGCACATTTGGAGTTCCCGTTCCGATGACATATTTCAATCCACCCCATCAGCAGATTCTGCCTTCTCGGCCTGGGCCCTGGACCTGCCTCGCGAAGCAGTTCTATCAGCAGGCTTCTGCCGTTCCGCGGGCCCCCATGACAGTGAGTTCGTCAAGAGTCGAGGCGCCGTTGTGAGTCAGGAACCCAGGGTATGCATATGAAGGTCTCCTGGAATGCCTCTCAGGGGCCTCTCAAATGCCCTTGGGGGCCCTCCTGGGCCCCTTGGGGACCGCTTGGGTGCTTTTTGGTAGCCTCTTGGGGCCTCTTGGGCCCTCCTCGGGGGTCACTGGGGGGGCTCTTTGGGCCATCATGGCCAGAAATACTCGAGAGGTCAATTCGTATTGCCCCTCTTGGCTTGGGCCCCGCTTGGGGCCCTCCTGGGCCGTCTTAGGGGGCCCTGGGACGTCTTCGGGCCCTCTTGGTGCTCTATTGGGCCGTCTTGGAGCCCTTTTGTGGTCCTCATGGACCGTCTTGGGACGACCTCGGAAACTCCTCGGGCCGTAGTGGACGCTGTTGAGACGAAAAACGCGTGCATGGGGCCCTCCCTGCGGCCCTCCAGGAGCGCTCTTGGGCCAGCTCGGGCACCTCGCAGGCAGTCTTGGAGCCATCTTCGACAGTCGCGGGCTGGGTTACAGTCAACCCGCATATTAAGGATGGGTAACTTTCCCAAGGGTAACCTTGCATCCTTGCCCCTTCGGCCCATCCTTAGCGACTTTCGCTTGCCATCCTCGGTCGACAATCGCGAACATGGCCCCCCAAGGCTCACCGCGCATCCTTATGATACGGGTTGACTGTACCTTGGGCCGTCTCGACGCTCTCTTGGACTGTCTCGGCGCTCCTTGTCGGGGCCGTCTTGGGTTTTTTTTTGAAGCTCCAGAGAGCCCATGGAGTACGTCGGGGAGCCCAGCCCCCCCCCCTTCCCTAATGCGATGTTTGGCGCCAGGGAGGGGAAAAGGGCCAGGGTTAAGTCGGGCATGACCCTCTACAGGGGGATATTCAAAACACAAATTAAGAAATAATCTGGGGACGACTTTTCCATTTTTTTGTTGTTGTTGTGTGTGTGTGTGTGGCTTTTGTCGAATATCTTTTTGACTATTTTAATATTTCATCCCAATTTCGCCTGTACGAGGGCATACCCGAATTAAGGAGAGGAGGACAGCCAGTCGTCTCATACGCCTTCTCACTCCCCGCAAGCGGGGGTCGGCGTATCTGGTGTAATATAGCTGTGTTTAAATGTTTCAGCCTCCAGGATCCTTGGACCTTACGGTTTCGTTTGCACGCTGGAAGCTCAAATGAGATCGAATGCTTGTTTTGAACATGCACACCTGGCTAGGAGTCTCAGTCGCACGCATGGCTCTGCTCATGATCCCTTATCTCCCCTGATTCCCTCCCAAGAGCCGCCTTCTATGCCCCCGATAATGTCCCCAAGAGGGCCCATGGCGGCCTCCGAAGCGGCCCGCAAATACGTTGACTCAAGCAGTTCGGTCTCAAGACATCTTCCTAAGCCCAGTGAATTCGCTCACGCTGTGCACCTGTACCCGAAGACTCCTTGAGCGAGTCGTTTCGGTGAGATGCTGGCTGCGCGCCAGATACAGGACGGACAGGCAGTCTGGACGACGCCACCCAGTTCACCGCGTGCTCGCCCCAGAGTGCCGCCCACGCCGCAGCCCTTGAGACGGGCGATGGTGGAGCCCTTGCTGCTGGGCCTGCAGCGGAACTGCTGGAAGCAGGTGCGCCGCGTCCTCGAGGCAGACCCGGAGGCTGCCAAGCTGCCGTTCCTGGAGCAACGCTTCGAGTGGCCGCTCTGCGCCGCCATCCGGCTGGGGTGCAGTGAGGCGATTGTCAGGTCGCTTTCGGTAGCAAATCACGGGAGCCTTGTGTACCCTCGTAATTCGGTCTTTAGCGTCGATCGGCGTCTGGGAGTCGACGAGATGGCGACGATTTAGCGTCGTTCAGCTCCAGGTAGCATCGACTTAAGGTCGATTGGTGTCGATGAGAGTCGCTTCGCAGGAGCCGACAGGGTGGTATGGGAGGCTCCCATGACTTGCGGCCGAAGGTTGCTGACCGAGAACGGCGCGGAGGCCGACGTGACGAACGGCATGGGGCTCTCCCCGCTCCAGGTCCTGAGCTCGGGGGCCCACGCGATCCTCGCCGCCCCGCCCCTGGACCTGCGGGCAGCTCCCGGCACCGCCGAGTGGACAGCACGGATGTCGGAGGGCGCCAACTCCACACTTAAGTCGGGCCTGTCCCTCTATAGGGGGAATATCCAAAAATAGTCAAAAAATAGTCTGGGGACGATTGTTTGGAGCATTTCTTGATTATTTTTGGAGCATTTGTTTAAAAACTATTTCCCAACCATCCCGTGGTGTTGGGTCCTCGTTTTGAAGAGACAGCGCCCCGCGTTTCTGTCCTCTCCTCTCCTCTCCTCCTCCTCCTCCTCCTCCTCCTCCTCCTCCTCCTCCTCCTCCTCCTCCTCCCCTCCCATCACCATCATCATCATCAGCAGCATCATCATCATCATCATCATTATCCTCCTCCTCCTCCTCCTCCTCCTCCTCCTCCTCCTCCTCCTCCTCTTCCTCATCATCATCATCATCATCATCATCATCATCATCATCATCATCATCATCATCATCATCATCCCCTCCCTTTCCCTACACCATCGTCACCATCATCACCGTCACCCATCATCCACCAGCATCATCATCTGCAGCATCATCCTCATCCACATCCTCATCATCGTCACCATCATCGTCCCCACCGCCCATGTCGTCACACCCCTCACACGTTTCGTGGCCCCACAGGGAGCCCCACCTAAGGCCACAGTGGCGGTGTTCGCATGCGTCTCCCCCGCCCAGGACAGCGTTTCGTGGCCCCATAGGGAGCTCCACCGAAGGCCCCTGCGGGGGTGTTCGCATGCGTCTCCCCCACCCAGGACAGCGTTTTGTGGCCCCATAGGGAGCTCCACCGAAGGGCCCACTGAGGGTGTTCGCATGCGTCTCCCCCACCCAGGACAGCGTGTTGTGGCCCCATAGGGAGCTCCACCGAAGGGTTCAATCGGGGTGTTCGCATGCGTCTCCCCCACCCAGGACAGCGTTTCGTGGCCCCATAGGGAGCTCCACCGAAGGCTCCACTCGGGGTGTTCGCATGCGTCTCCCCCACCCAGGACAGCGTTTCGTGGCCCCATAGGGAGCTCCACCGAAGGCTCCACTGGGGGTGTTCGCATGCGTCTCCCCCGCCCAGGACAGCGTGTTGTGGCCCCATAGGGAGGTCCACCGAAGGCCACAGTGGGGGGTGTTCGCATGCGTCTCCCCCGCCCGGGACAGCGTTTCGTGGCCCCATAGGGAGCTCCACTGAAGGCCCCACTGGGGGTGTTCGCATGCGTCTCCCCAACCCACGATAGCGTTTTGTGGCCCGATAGGGAGCTCCACCGGAGGCCTCAATCGGGGTGTTCGCATGCGTCTCCCCCGCCCAGGACAGCGTTTCGTGGCCCCATAGGGAGCTCCACTGAAGGCCCCACTGGGGGTGTTCGCATGCGTCTCCCCCACCCAGGATAGCGTTTCGTGGTCCCATTGTGAGCTCCACCGAAGGCCTCAATGGGGGTGTTCGCATGCGTCTCCCCTACCCAGGACAGCGTTTCGTGGCCCCATCGGGAGCTCCACCGAAGGCTCCACTGGGGGTGTTCGCATGCGTCTCCCCCACCCAGGACAGCGTGTTGTGGCCCCATCGGGAGCTCCACCGAAGGCTCCACTGGGGGTGTTCGCATGCGTCTCCCCCGCCCAGGACAGCGTTTCGTGGTCCCATTGTGAGCTTCACCGAAGGCCCCAGTAGGGGTGTTCGCATGCGTCTCCCCCACCCATGACAGCGCTTCGTGGCCCCATAGGGAGCTCCACCGAAGGCTTCAATCGGGGTGTTCGCATGCGTCTCCCCCACCCAGGACAGCGCTTCGTGTCCCATTGTGAGCTTCACCGAAGGCCCCAGTAAGGGTGTTCGCATGCGTCTCACCCACCCAGGACAGCGTTTCGTGGCCCCATAGGGAGCTCCACCGAAGGCCCCACTGAGGGTGTTCGCATGCGTCTCCCCCACCCAGGCCAGCGTGTTGTGGCCCCATAGGGAGCTCCACCGAAGGCCTCAATCGGGGTGTTCGCATGCGTCGCCCCCGCCCAGGACAGCGTGTTGTGGCCCCATAGGGAGCTCCACCGAAGGCTCCACTGGGGGTGTTCGCATGCGTCTCCCCCACCCAGGACAGCGTTTCGTGGTCCCATTGTGAGCTTCACCGAAGGCACCAGTAGGGGTGTTCGCATGCGTCTCCCCCACCCAGGACAGTATTGCGAAGGCCTTACGGCCGGTGCCGCCGACCCTGAAGGGGAACGACGACGGCGGCGGCGGCGGTAGCGACGACGACGATGCTGACGCGGGTTGAGTCCTCAAACGTGCTTCTAGGGGTTTCTTCCGAGCGCTCTCGCGGGCCTCCGGGGGGATGTTTGGGGGCCTCTTGGGAGCCTCTTGGGGCCTCTTTGGGCTTCCTGGGGGCCTCTTGGGGGCTTCTCGGGGCTGAGGGCTCGAAATGTCCGTTCGGGTCCCCCGTCTGGGCACTCTCTTGGAACCGTCTTGGGGGCCTCTTGTGCCGTCTTGGAGGCGTCTTGGGCCGTGTTGGGGCACTCTTTCTTGGGCCGTTTGGGGACTCTCTTGGAGGCCTCTTGGGCCGTCTCGGGGCGACCTTGGGGGCCTTTTGGGCCGTTTTGGCGCGTGGGGAAGCGGAAGAGGCGAGAACGCCAAAATTCTTGAAAAACGTACGGGAAATCCATGATTTTTGCCTCTTGGGGCTCTCGTGGGGGCGGTCCTGGAGGCCTCTTGGGGCGTCTCGCAGGCCTTTTAGGCCGTCTGGAGGCCGTCAAGGCGTCTTGGACAGATCATTCGGCGATTCGGGGCCCCCTTGGATCGTCTTGGGGGCCTCTTGGGGCACTCTTGGCCCGTCTTGGGGCTTTTTTGGGCTCTGGGATTCCCCGGGGGGGCGGCGTAAAAACCCGGGACCCCCCCCCGGGACCCACCCCGGGACCCCCCCCCCCACCCAAGACAGTATTTCGCGGCCCTAGGGAGCTTCACCGAAGGCTTCAATTGGGGTGTTCGCATGCGTCTCCCCCACCCAGGACAGCTTTTCGTGGCCCCATAGGGAGCTCCACCGAAAGTCCCAGTGGGGGTGTTCGCATGCGTCTCCCCCACCCAGGACAGCATTTCGTGGCCCCATAGGGAGCCCCACCGAATGCGTTGCTCACGGAGACGGTACTCACAACTGCATATGGTTGGGTCCTTCGCCAGGCTTTTTTTTTTGTTTCGTCCAAAAGCCCCCTGTAGGGGGACACGCCCGACCTAACTATACGCCTACACCGATCCTGGCCAGGCCGACCCTAGGCCCAGGATCGGTGTATATGCAGTCTGCCCAAGGCAGCAGGGCGTATACCCCGATCCTGGGCCCAGGGTGATCCTGTCTAGGATCGGAATCGGTGCATAGTTGGTGCCTTCCTAGGATGCGCGAGCTCGCCGCGGAGCGCGAGCTCGGCGTGGCCACGGCGCTGCTGAGGGCGGGCGCGGATCCGGAGGCGTCCCACGGCGGCCCCGGCAGAGGACATCCCTCGAGTCTTGAGCTCGCCCGGCGCGCTGGGAAGGATCACCTGGTCGGCCTGTTCGAGACCCTCGGCCACGTGCACACGGTCTGACGCAGTCCTAGAGGTGTGGATGCGGAGGTTGACGAGACCGCGCATCGCTTTGCGTTCCACGCGAAGCGAGTTGTCTGTCCGAGAAGGAATGGATCACACGTTGGCAAGTTTGTATAAAGGTCTTCGCTCTCTGCCAGATTTCTTGAGTGGCTGGCTTCGATTGGTTGGTTGATTGGCTGATTGGTCGGCAGGCTGGCAACTCGGCTGGTTGGCTGCCTGTCTGGATGGATAGTTGGCATGTTAGCTAGTTGGTTGGCCCATGGGCTGCCTTACAAGCGCACTGGCTGATTGAGTGGAGTTCGAAGAGCTTTTCCCAATCATCCTGTGGTGTTGGGTCCTCGTTTTGAATGCGCAGTGCCCCGCGTTCACTCCGAGGACTGGCTGGAGAGCGGGGAGCCAGGGGCTGACGGGGAGGACCCCGAGTGCGGTGCAGCGCGCGCTTGCGCGCGATCGCGCGCCGCCGCCGCCCCTGCGCCGCCCATCGACGAGTGCGGCTTCGGCGTCCTCGGCCCCCCCGCTCCCCCTCCTCGTCCTCCGACCAGCGCTGTCGGCCGCGGCTCTAGGGCCGCTCAGCATCTACCTCAGTTGCGTCCCTCCTCCGGTTTCGACCTTCCGCACATGCTTGTCGTAATCACCTTTCACACGCTTCGTGGCCCCGGAGGGAGCTCCACCGAAGGCCGCAGTGGCAGGAATCAGATGCGCCCCCGCGCGCATTTTGGCACACCTCTCACACGTTTCGTGGCCCCAAGGGCTCCATCCACCACAGGCCCCAGTGAGGAATCACATGCGCCCCCACGCCCATTTTGGCAAGCCCCTCACACGCTTCGCGGGCCCACAGGGAGCTCCACCGAAGGCCGCAGTGGCAGGAGTCACATGTGTCCCCCCGCCCATTTTAGCATGCCCCTGAATTGTTCCGCTGCCCCATAGGGAGCTCAACCGAATGCCGCAGTGTCAGGAATAACATGCGTCCCCCCGCTCATTTTGGCACGCCCCTCACACGTTTCGCGGCCCCGTTGTGAGTTCTAAAGAGGGCCGCAGTGGCAGAAGTCACATGTGTCCCCTGGCCAATTTTGGCACGTCCCGCACACGCTCCGCTGCCCCATAGGGTCCACCGAAGGCCGCAGTGGCAGGAATCACATGCGCCCCCCAGGCGCATTTTGGCACGCCCCGCACACCCTTCGCGCCCCCATGAGGAACTCCGAAGGCCGCAGTGGCAGGAATCACATGCGTCCCCCCGGCCTATTCTGGCGCGCCCCTCGCGCGCTTCGTCGCCGCAGAGGGAGCTCCACAGACGACCGGCGTGGAAGGAATCGCATGCGCTCCCGGGCCCAGTGTGGCACTCCTCACACGCTTCTGTGCCCAGGCAGGGAGTTCCACCAACGGCCGCCGTGGCAGGAATCGCGCGTGTTCCCCCGCCCATGGTGCCCTCCCCGCCCTCTCGTCCGTTCTTCTCACCCGCCTCGCGATGCTACTGCAGCTGCATCTGGTTGGGTCACTCGCCAGTCCAAATTGCGGAGGGATTGTGGCCTCGATCCCCCTTCTGCGGGCCCACCACATCCAAAAGGTCCCCCAAAACGCTTTCGAGGGTCACCCAGATTGGAGTGAGGCGGCCGTCCACGAGGCCTTGAACATGGGCATCCTGCAGAGGCACGACGGCGTGCAGCCACTGTGTGTTGTGACGTTGGCCTGCGATGCGTCCTTCAGACCGTCCTCGAAGGATCAGGGACTCTGTCCTCGGGGGAGGCGGAGGAGGCCGGACGAAGAGCAGCAGACGCATGAAGAGGTGCCATCGACCAAGAGATCGATTGTAGAGTTGATTTGCCCCGCTTTTGATTTCCTCGCCGATTCTACGAACGCCGAGAGAGACGGGGAGAACAGGACCTATATGAAGCGCGTGCCGCTGGGATTCTGGGTCGCATGGAGAAGTGCGCGAGCGCGCCCGTCGTGGACGACCTGAAGCGCCACGACGACAGCCTCGCAGGGGACCTCGCGGGTCCGCTGGTGTTCATCGAGCCCCGCACGTCGGAACCGTTCACCTTCCGCAGCTCCAAGGTCACCCGGACGGGCGTCCTGTTCTCGCACGGCAGGGTTATCCCCGCGGTGGCGTGCCAGGGGCGCGCCGTGCGAGAAGGCGACGGGGCGAGGGAATGGCGCCCCCGGGCAGTCTACAGCCGAACCTACTGGGCGCGAGCGGTCCGCAGCCAGACCATGTCTCGGTCCTGTGGACTCGCCCTGGGCCGTCGGCTGTCTGGCGCGCTGCTCCCTGGGCCGACGTCGCCCAGGCGTGGTCCTGGATTGCGGCCGCCACGAGGTCGGGAACGGCAAGAAGGAGGACGATGACTGGCGGCTGGAGCTCTATGTGCTGCTCTCGCGCGCCGCGCGCCACGAGGGCCCCCTGCTCATGCGGGCGCCGCGCGTCGAGTTCTTCCTGGTAGGGCCGCCGGAGGGCTCGCGGAAGCAGCAGGGGCAGTTTGCGGCGCGCGCGAAGCGTTGCAGGAGGGAGGCGACGGCTGTCGCCAGGGAGCTCGGCTTCACCGAGTTTATCCGCGAGGCCTGACCCGAGGAGCGCCGCGCCATCTCTCGACTGTCCAACTACTTGTTTTGGCCTCGCACCGCGGGCGAACCGCGCGCGTCGCTGGGGCCCTCTCGGGGCGACCGGCGCGCGTCGCGGGAAACCCGTGCTGCGTTCTGCCCAGCGCCTCGCTCGCCGGTCGTCGCTCTGCCCGGCGGCCGCGGCCGTGCCCGCTATCGGCCAGCCAGCTAGCTTTCTTT